CCCCCAACGTCCGAGGATGTGCCCCCCTTCCAGAGCAGGACTTTGACCCAGTGGCTGGAGAAGAGCCGGGCTCTGCCAGGCAGGGAGGGATCTGGCTTCAATAAAACGGAGAGGTGCTGTCACCGTGTCTGCTCGTGCGCACAGGGGGCTGGAGAGGGGGGGCGCAGCCCGGCACACCCCTCCTTGGCAGCCACGAGGTGTCCCCCAGCCCCAGGCAGGGCCACCAAGCCCCAAAGTGCTCGGGGGGACAGCCCAGCCCGCAGCTGGGTCCTGGGGGAAGCCCCCAGCCCCTTGGGGAGGTGGCCAGCCCCCCCAGATCAGGGCAGCCCCATGGGTGGTGGCTCCGTGCTGACCCCTCTGCGTCCCTGCGGTGTCCGGTCACACTCGTAGCCCCGGTGGCATCTGCTCAGCATCATCCTCGCTGCCCTAATCAGCTTAAGGGACGGGGATCTGATGGCAGCGTCTCCTCCGGGGAGGGCACCGGGGACTGGTGCTGCCGGCACGGAGCCCACGCGTGGGACGGGAGGGAAGGAAGATGCAGGGGGGGCGAGGGGTCCCTTCCTCTGGTGCCCCTGAGCCCTGCACAGGCTGGTCCCGAGGGCTGCAGGATGTGAAGAGGGGGGAAAGGAACCTGCTGCAGGGCTTAGGTAACAGCGTGACGCAGGGCAGGACGGGGATTAAGGGATGTGGGTCACTAGGAGCTGCCCCCCCCGCCACCATCCCGCTCCTGTCCCTCTGCCAGTGCCCGCGTCGGGGAAGCCCAGGTGAGCCCCCGGCCCCAAAAGCTCCCCGCTGGATCAGATCTGGGGGCTCCACACCGCACCCCGACGCAGCAGGCTGATGCTGAGGGCTCGTCCAGCTCTGCGCTGTCCCCAAAAGCAGGGTGGTCCCCCCTCCCTGTCCCCAAACGCACCCGGCGGTGACGGCAGCCGGCAGGAAGGTGGGGGCACCCACGCAGGACCCGGCGATGCTCTGCCCGAGGATGCAGCCAGCATCACCATGGCAACTCGGGATGCTCCCAGCGCACGCAGCCCCCTCCACATCACACTTTTTTTTTGGGGGGGGGAGTGAGGAGCATCGCCCCCACCCCGGCGCCCTGGGTTGACCCTGCCCAGCAGCAGCGCTGCTCTCATCGCTCCCCCGAACCGTGGCTCGGAGCAGACTGCAGCAAAATCCTGCCAATGGGCGAGCGGGGCCGAGCCTGGCACAGCTCCGGTGGGCGGCAGGGACCGGCCCCGGGGTGCTTGGCCCAGGGGGGGTGATGTGGGAGCATCGCCCTGCGCAGTGGGGGGCTCGTGGGGGGCACAGCCCAGGTGGCTCGGTGCGCCCACCAGACCTACCCGCTCCTCCCTGTGCCCAAATAGCACGGGGAGGGATCGGTGCCTCATGGAGGTGGCTGAGAGGATGGGGATGAGCTGGAAGGGGGGCACAGCGCTGCCCCCCAGCTCTGCTGCTCATCCAAAATGCGCCCCCAGCTTGCTGGAGGATGGTGCTGGGAGCCCTGCGTGGGGGAACGGGGTCCCAGAGGGCTCATCCTGTGCCGAGCTGGGAGCAGAGCACATGGCCTGGGAGTTTTTTGTGCTGCTTTGTGATCAAAGGCAGGAGGAGGGGTTTTTATATATAAAATATATATCTTTTTGTCTGGCTTCTCTTAGCCAGCAGGAGGGCAGGGCTGAGCCTCGCCTCGGTCTCAACACCTTGCCCAGGAGGCGTGGGGACCCCTGCGGTCCCCCCACATCCTCCCAGCCCCACTGTAAAGGATCGGAGCGGGGGTGCTGAGGAGCCCCTCTCCTATTTTAGCCGACGTGCATCATTCCCCATGACGTGCATCGAGCCCCTCTCCTGTTTTAGCAGCTCCCCCATCACACGTATCCTTTCCCGTGCTGCCCAGAGCCTTCGCAGCACCGCCGGGTCCCGTCTGCGCTAGGGAACCGTGGGCCGGCTGCGTCCCCACCCTCCTCCCCCCCCCCCAGCTTTCCAAATTCCCACTCCTTTACCCTCATTCCCACCCCGCGCAGCACCCCCCGGCAGGCTGCTGACTCACATCCTCTCTCCAGACGCCACCTCCCCTCCGCCTGGCTCCCTGCGCACGCTTCGTGACTTAGCGGGGCTCTGCAGGAGCAGGCGCTGGGGCTCCAAAACCTCCAAAACCTCCAGGGAAGCAGCCCTGGGGTTTCCCAAAGGGAGCTGCTCTCCCCCTGGCATGGGGTTGGGGTGCTGGGGTCTCCCCGAGGCAGCCCCTGGAGCTGAGGGGTGCTCGTGGGCACGGTCCCAGTGCCTCCTGTGCCGGGGCTGGGACCCCCCTGTCCTCCCCAAAGCACCCCCTCACCCCATTGCCCAGAAGGAAGGGAAGGAGCCCAGCCAGCACCCAGGTTTTTGGGCAGGGACCGCTGGGGAGCTCCTCGGTGCTGCTCCTGCCCCGCTGTGGCGCTGAGACCTTGGGCTGGACTCCGCCGAGGGCACGGGCTGGGCTGCGGGGAGGACTGGATTAAGGCGCTAATGCCAGATTAAGCTGTAACGCAGGACTTCTGACGAGGGAGAGGCACCCGCTCCAGCCCTGCGCCCCTCCAGGGCTTCATCCGTGTGCTGCTCGCTGCCCCGCCAGGAGCTGGCTCCTCGGGGTGGCACGGGGCAGGGAGAGGGGCAGCGCACGGCCACCGCTCTGCTGCATGTCACAGCAGGGCTCCCCGGCTCTCCCCAAATTCTCTGGGGCCAAGCAGGCATCCGTGGGGCTCACCTGCACCCACAAACCCTCCCCGGTGCAGCAGAGCAGCAGCTCGAAGCCGTGATGCCCAGGCTGCTCCCACCCCATGGCTCATCCCCCCTTGTCCTGGGTGGCAGCAGGAGCTCCCCGCTCCCCCCGGCAGCGGCACGAGGTCCCCTGGGGGAAGGGAAAGGCAGACATCTCTCCCCCCAGCAAGGCTCCGATGCGTATTGAAATGCACGGGAGCACCCGAGCTCGTCTCTCATTCCTTGACATTTCCAGAGACTCCAAGCTGTCTTCAATTACCAGCCTGCAATTAGCTCTTCCTAAATCCCCCGGCGAGGGCCTGGCACTCTTAATCAATGAAACACAAGGGAGGAGGGGAAGGACGCGGCCTCTCTGCAGCTGGAAGCGTTTTAAAAGGCCAGGACTTGGGGCTGGAGGGACCCCGAGAAGGTCTCCGAGGGGATTTGTAGGGTGGGAAACCTCCGTGAGCGTTAGCACTTGGTTCGGCTCCAGGGTAGAGGAAGGAAGGGGGATAACCAAAATGTGGGGTGGGGAGGGGTGGTGGGTATATTTTAGCCCAGACAGCTCCCCACAAGGTCACCAAAATGTGGAGATAAAGGAAAAAAAAGCACAGGGGATGGGGATGGGGAGGGTGGGAGCAGCGCAGGGTGCGCGCAGCACCCTGCCAGGTCAGGCGCCGTCACGGGGACATCTGTGCCGCCTTCCTGGCCGTGCAGCTTTGGCTGAATGAGCCAGATTGGGCCTAATTAGCAGCTCTGCTGATGCACACAAAGGTAGGGAATCCAGCTTACCCTCCGTGACCTGCAGAGCCAGCACAGCCCTTCCTGGATGAGGAGGGGGGGGGAACAACGCGAGCGCCTGGGGAGCACCGGGTGCCGACCCCAGCAGGGGAGCAGGTGCTGGGGATCCTGCTAAAGAAACCCCAGAAAAATAGAAAAATCGGTACCTGGAATGGCAGCAAGCAGCTGGGAGGAGGAAAAAAAAATAAAATAATAATAAAAAAATAATAATTAAAAAAACACCTTCCCTTTCTCCACCCCTTCTCCCCGGGGGGGTGCAGAAGCGCAGGGCTGGCAACTGGGCTGGCAACAGAGCTCGCCCGGCCCTGCGGAGCAGAGCAGAGCAGAGGCAGGAGGCGAGGGTGGGGTTGCTGGAGGCGAAGGGAAGGAGGTGACGTGGGCCCTGGGATCCGGGTTCAATTCGGCGCAGCAGGCAGCCGCCAAGCGGTCCCATCAGGAGGCACGGAGAGCGCCCGGGGAGCCGGGGGGGCACCCCAGGAGCAGGGCTGGCCTCGGGCACACCAAACAGCGGGGATGGTGTGTGTGTGTGTGCGACCCCACAGCTCGCTCCCCGCGCCCCCCCCGGGCAGGGGCCACCCCCCAGCACCCCCCCTTGCACCCCAGCAAGTCCAGGGAGCCACCGCCAGGCCCATCCAGGCCGCCTCTTTATTCTCCAGTGAAGCAAAGCAAGAGGAGAGGGCCCCCCCCCTCCCCAACCCCAGCAGCCCCCCCCTCCCCAGCCCCCCTCTGGCACATACACCTTTCCCCGCAGCAAGCCGAGGTGGGGAGGGGAGGGGGGGCGAAGAGGGAACAAGGGAACACCGCTCACCCCGCAGGTGCCCTGGCTTTGGGGAGGGGGCTCAGCAGCATGGGGGGGGGCGAGGAGAAGGGATGCTGCAGCCCCCCCCTCAGCATCTCAAACAAAGGGGCGAGCGGGCTGCTCCCCCCAACTGAAGGACCCACCGTGTGGGGGGGAGCCCCCCACACCCCGCTGCCTTCCCCCAGCAGGGATGGAGGCAGCAGCAGGGACACAAAGCCCCGTGCCCCCCCATACCCCCCCCCTTTCCCCGCCGCCCTTTGTCTGCCCGGCTCCGCCGCGGCGGCTCCAGCACCGCGGACAGCTCCGGCGGGGGGGGCCCGGCGCTGCCGGGGGGGGGTCCTTGGGGTGTAGGGGTTACCAGGAGCACCCCCCAGCCCCCCCCCCCTCCTTCCCCTCCCCACATATATATATATATATATTTTTTTTTTTCCCAAAGAAAACACATTCAGGAGCCTCCGCTCCTCGGCAGCCTGCCCCCCCCATCCCCACCCCATCGCCCCCCCCTGTTGCCCCCCCCCTGCCTCCATCCCGATCTTCTCCGCCGTGTCGGTGTCCCGGAGAGCTGGGGTCGGCAGGGGATGGAGAGAGAGGAGGGGGGGGAAAGCGGCCGGATCCGGAGCAGGGAGGGTCCAGGCAGCATCTCCACGGGGAGGATTTTTTTTTTTTGGGGGGGGGGGGAATCCGTCAGTCCTTGTCCTCCCCCAGCCGGGGGCCCGGTACCTCCCTAGCGGTCCAGGCTGATCGTCCAGTGCTTGGCCCCGTCTCTGGCCTCGCCCTCGCTCTTGAGGTCCTGGAAGAGCTGCGTGAAGTAGTGGGGGTCCGCGTTGATGCGCAGCATCTTGGCGCTCAGGCGCTGGATGATGCCCAGGCAGCGCTCCCAGAAGCGGCCCTTGTCGCCCTCCACCAGGAAGGGTTTGAGCGGGTAGGAGATCTCGTTGCCCATGTAGGAGTAGGCGAGATAGAGGCAGGTGAGGAAGGCCGCCTGCAGCTCGGCCTGGCTGCCGATCTCCTCGCCGCGCAGCGCCTCGCGGCACAGCAGGTAGACGAACACCAGGTTGGCCGGGGTGATGAAACCCTGGTCCTGCCAGCCCTGCAGCAGCAGCGAGCGGTCCACGCTGCGGAACCAGGCGATGAGCTCGCCGGGGCTCAGCTCCTTCAGCCGGTAGCAGCGGCGGCACACGAAGTCCCCCAAGCAGCGCAGCAGCTCCCCGGTGGACGCTTGCACCACCACGCGACGTGGAGAGCCCGGAGCCCGGCTCCCGGCCGGCGGAGGCAGCGGTGGAGGTGGCGGAGGGGGGGGCGGCGGCTGCTTGGCCCCCCCGGAGCCCGGGTGCAGCTCCTGGGGCGCCGCCGAGGGCACGGTGGGCACGGGCACGGCCAGGGGGCCCTGCTTGGCTCCGTCCCCCAGCGACTTGCGCAAGTTCTCGCGGTTGCGCTGAGCCACCAGCGGGTCGGCTTGACCCCCAGGGACCCCCCCAGGGGCCCCACCGCCGGGTTTGGGCGTCACCTTCTTGGTGCTCTTCTTCTTCTTGGCCGAGGCGGCCACCAACCGCTTCCAGGTGAGCGCCGAGATCAGCACCCCGGGCCTCTTCAGCCGGCTCTCGCCCTTGCCCGGCACCCTTCCCGGCTGCGCCTTGTCGGCCAGCAGCCCCCCGCCGCCTCCGCCGCCGCCCCCCTTGCCCGAGGAGGCGGCGGGGGACAGGGAGAGCACCGTGCCCATGCTAAGGCCGAGCGGGGCCCATAGGAGGCCGGCGGCTGCGGGTTCGGGGTGGTGGGGGGGGATGCCGGAGAGGCGGCCGGCACCGGAGGCGCGGTACCCGAGGATGCTCCGCTTCTGGGCTCCGTGCCCGCCGCTGCAGCCAGCCGCGGCCCCGCCGCTCCCCGCCTCCCCGCCGCCAGCCAATCCGTGCCGCACCGGGGCCCGGTGGGTTCCGCCTCCCCCCGCCGGTAGGAGGTGGAATTGGGGAGGGGGGGGACCGGGGGGAGCCGGCCCCGAGCGGCCGCCGCCCCGCCGTGACCTTCACGGGGCGCTCCCGGTCCTTGCGCACAGGGGGGACCCCGATGGTTAAGGGGGTACCCGGGGGGGTAGGTGCTCGGTGCCCCTCCCCCACCCCACCCTGCCTTTTCAGCCCTTTTTGGGGAGATTTCCCATCACCGGCATCAAGAAAATTGGGGATTTTGGAGAGAGGGGGGCAGGAGGGAGGGGACGCTGCGCTCCTGCGGCGCTGCAAAATGGTGCGTGGCGAAGCAGGGCTGCTTCTCCCCCTCCGGCTCTGAGCGTGGCACTGATGAATCCTGCCCCCTCTGCCTCCGTGCCCCTCGCAGGAAGGTCCTGCTGTATTTTGGGTGAGCTGGAGCACGGATCCTGCAGCTCCCACTGCCAGGCAGCCCTTGGGAACAAAGCGCCCCGCTCGTGTGCAAAGTGCCCAAGAGCGGCTGGGGAAGGTTTCGGGGAGAATGCATCGATGATGGGCTTTGATAGAGCATTTTATCTGTGAAATGAACACGTGTCAGTGCCAGGATGTGTGGCGGCGGCTGGGTGGATCCAGGCTAACAGGCGGTAATGAATTATCAGCCAGGAGGAGCTAAAGGAGCCCCCCCTTTCCTCCCGCACTGCTGATGCTGGAGGTGTTTGAAATGGAAGCGCAGGCTCAGAGCTGGGGCTCGCCCTTCCAGCCGGGCCTCCTCGTGCCTGGGGCTGATGTGCCACGTCTGGGGCAGGGCAGAGGCTGTGCCCTTTGTGCCACGGCAGGGAAAAAAGGGCAAAGCCCCGTTCCCATGTATCACCCACTGCAGCCAGCCTCATGCTGCTGCTCCCTTGCAAAAAGCCTCTGCAGAAGCACACACGTGTGCACAGAGGCACTGATGTGAAGATTTGCTTTGGGAGAGGCCGGAATCAAAGAGGATCTGGGCCAGCATCACCAGGCCTGCTCAGGGTGGGCTGAAAAAAAAAATATCAAAAAAAAAAAAAAAATTTAAAAAAAAAAAACACGAGAGGATTTGGTGTCAAAACAAGAATACAGGGTACAAATGAAAAGGAACAAAGTCAGGACAAGCTTCTTGATGAAGATTAAGGCAGCTTTTCCGGACGTACAAAGCCTAGCAAAGAAGATGGAGGAGCCCTAGTCCTCGGGAAGGGATCAGGAGCCCGTGGCTCTTCGCACGCATGAGGATGGGCTGATTTGCCATGCACAAACACGGTCTCCCGAGAAACCCGCAGCTGAATTTTGCAGGTGAGGAAGCAGAGCCCTCCCTGCCTGCTGCCTGTTCCTGCTGGAGCCAAATTGCTCGCAGATCGCTTCATCTGAAGCGCATGAAACCGCCCCCGCCTTCCGCCAGCGCTCCCAAATTGGCTTCCCCGAACTCGTTAGGAAGGGCTATTTGTATTTGGCTCCGACCAGCCGGGCTCTGCAGCCTTTTCCACGGAGGAGCATGCAGAGAGCTCCCCTGCCTCCTCCAGCTGGGCTCCTGGTCGCCAGCCCCGAGCAGTTTCCCTGCGTGTGAGCCTCCTGCTGCTCCCATGAGGGGAGATTTGGCTGAAGCCTGTATAAAAAACCCCAGCCTGGGGCCGTTTGGTGATGCAGCTCCAGGAGGCTTCAGCTGGGAGCAGCAGACGAGCTCCAGGACCTGCTCGTGTCTTGCTGCGGGGTCTGGTCCCCGAGGATCAGCTCTGGTCAGTGAGCACGTTGGTGGCCCCAAGGTGGCCAGCAGTGGGCAAGGGCTTCCTGCAAGCGCTGCGGAATTACCCAGGCCCTGCGAGAGCAGAGGGACGTTTCTTATGCAGGTAAGGAAGCAGCTTTGCAGCTTACCTGGGAGGCAGCTGCTCTTCCACGTGAAAGAGGAGGATCTTTTCTCCCCCCTCCCTTCAGTTTTATTCTTCAGGCTCCAGCCCCGAGGCTGCCAGGCGATGATACAGCACCAGCTGCGCCCTCGGGCCCATCTCTGCTTGGCTCTTCCTTAGGCTGCTCCCTTCCCAGCAGCTTGGGGCAGCTGTGGAAGGCACGGCACAGGAGGAGAGGGCAGCACACGGCCGGTCTCAAAGCTGCTCTCAGCATCCTTCAGCCGTGGGGGTTTGGCTTTGCTGGGCCAGCGTGGGCACACAGAGATCCCCTCCTCCTGGGGGTCACCCTAACCAGCCCAGCATATACATCAACTATGGGCTAGTGCCAACAAAGGGATGGCTGCCTGTCCATCCTGGCACGTCCTCCTGCCTGCTCCAGGATGATGAATGAGCGCCCGCCTGCAGGCTGGCTGGCTGGGGCTGGTCTTTAATGGCTCGCTTGCTGTGCCGAGGTCTGTCTGCACTGGTAAAGCCAGCCGGGGACACGGGCTGCGTCGCCCTGGCAGCGGCTGGGTTGCTGTACCCGTGGAGACACAGCTCGCAGCCTCAGCCCGTCTCTGGCAGGCGGCTCTGATGGCTCCGCCGCTCCCCCCCTGAGCCCGTGCAGCACGCAGACAACCTCTGGCAGAGCTCCTGGCTGAGCTGGCTGCCCCTTGGGGCTGGGGAGCCCCAGAGAGACTGGTTGGCAGCTTGCCTGCAGCCCCCAGGGAGGAGAAACGTGCTCGTGCTGCACAGGAGGATGGAGATGGAGAGGTACCCCTGCACCTCTCCATCTCTGCTTCCCCCTCCAGCCCTCAGCCCTTGGCTGGTCCCCACGGGAAAAAGGCTGCAGCTGTGGCTCCCCAAATACTTCAGCAGCTCGGGGTTCACCCCGTGGTGCCCCCTTAGCGTGGAGCTCGTGCAGTCCCTGCCCCGAGGTCAGCCCCGGGTTCAGGCAGCGGCACGGAGCGGAGCAGGGCAGCCCCAGGGGAGCAGCTATTTCTGGCCTGCCATTTGCCCAACAGCAGCGCTGGAAACAGCTCCGAGGCAGCGAAACGCAGCTCCCCTGGGTGGAAACTGTGAGACGGAGCCAGGCCTCGAATCGATGAGGCAACACCTCCTGATTCCTGGGCACAGAGAGGGGCGCCGGGCAGCCGCTGTGCGCCCTGCCGCAGCCATGCCGGGTGCCGCAGCCCCGGGCCGCTGCTGCCCTCTGGTGGCACCCAGCCCCCCTCCGAGGGTCCCGGGGGGGCCTCGTACCGTGCGGGAGGAAGGGGGGGTCCCCGTGGGAAGGGTGCTGCCGGGTGCTGTGTGCAGGGAGCATCCCGGAGCAAAGGGGTTTTGGGGTGCGCACCCGCAGGCAGGCGCTGCCCCGGCACCCCCAGGCGCAACGCAAGCCCCGGGGTGAGGCTGCTGTCCCCCCCCCGCCCTGTTTGTCAGCGGGGACAGGGAAGGCAGAGCCGCAGGCTCCAGCTCTCGGGGTCCCCCTGTCCCCTGGGGTGGTGGGCAGAGGGAGCCGGAGGCGCTGGGGGGCCGGGGGGGGTCTCGCTGCCCACCAGGTGGAGCTGCGCCCCGCGCTTTGCTGCTGCTGCCGGGTGGCTCGGGGCCAGCTCCGGGCTCCTGCTGCTCGGCCCCGAGCTGCGAAGGAGGGATCCTGGCTTCCCCGTGGGTAAAAGGCTCACACCCTGCACCGATGTGCTGACCCCACTATCTCCACCAGCTCAGCAGCACAGCCAAAGTGCTATTCCCCCCGGGGGGGGGGTCCCAAGGAGCTGCCAATTTAACCCCCGGGGTTTGTCAGAGCCCCGTGAAGCTGGGGTTAGGAAGACCCCTGGCCAACAACCCAGCTCCTTCCCCAGCCCCAGGAAAGGTGGGAGCTGCACGGGGTCTGTCCTGTCCTCGCCCCCTGCCCGCTGGGATGCCGGCGGTGCGAGGGAGGCAGCTGTACAGGAAATAATCGCGGCTCGTTGGAGATTAAATCACCGGCGGGAGCGCACGAGGGGATAAAAGGAGCCGTCTGTCGTTAGAGGGAATATTAACCCAGCCAGGAGGGGGGAGAGTTTTGTCCCCTGTGCGCACAGGGCTGGGCGCTGACAGCAGCTCTCAGCGGGACACGCGGCTCGGCCCGGCACGGGGGCGAGGGAGGGATGGGGATGGTGCTGCGGGCACGGAGGGTTTGTTGGGGAGGTGGGGAAACTGAGGCAGCACCCGGTGTCATCCTGCTGTGTGCCTGGCACTGCCCGGAGGCACCGAGCCCCCCGGACCCTCCTGCATCGCTCCTGCTCTGCCCCGGCTTCGTCGGGCTCTTGGGGATGAGCTGAGCGTGGCACAAAAGGTTCTTGTTTGGTCTGGCCCTTATCAGGGACCTGCCTCGGGGTCCTTCAGCGGGGAGCTGCAGCAGGTGGGGCCGGGCAGCCAGGGAGAGGGCAGGGAGAAAACAAGAGCCCAGCTGCAGAGGGGTGAGCCGGCGGGGAGATAAGATAGAGGGAGAAATGCAAAATATGACGGGTGGCGGGCGGGAGGGAACGTGGGAAACTGCGGGGCACCTTGGGGCAGAGGCCGTGCGGGGGTGCCAGCCGGCCGGCCGTGGTGACAGCTCCCAGCCCCTTGTCCTTGGGCTGGGAGCTGCTTTGGGGTCCGAGACTCAGCCCCTGAGACCCCAGTGCTGCTCATCTGCTGCGGGGATGTAGGTGTGAGGGCAGGGACACCTGCCCCTGCGCACCTTCTGCTGGTGCCCATGCCCCCTTGCCCTCCCCGCAGCCCCATTGCCCTCTCCACAGCCCCATTGCCCTCCCCACAGCCCCATTCCCCTCTCCACAGCCCCGTTCCCCTCCCTGCAGCCCGTCCCAGCCCCGCTGCAGCCAGGCAGAGCGGTTCTCCCCGGGCCAGCTGGGGGCTGTGCTTTATGGGCTCTCCTGCGCCAGGATAAACAGACCCGTGGGGTTTGCAGCGAGCGGTTCATGAAAGCCTGCAGCATTTTGCTCAGGGTTTCCTTCCCTTTGATGGAGGAGCCCCGGTGGTTTCCCAAGCAAGATTCCCCCCTCCTTTCCCCTCGCCCCCTTTCTTTCTCCCCCTCCAGCTGAGGCTGGAATAGGACCATCAGCCATCCTTGGCTGCCTCCCCATTCCCAGCCTTGCGGTACCCCGCAGAGCCAAGCCCTCCCCTCTGCACAGGGCCGGATTTTGCCCCATTATCATCCTGCTGCTGCTCCGGGGAAGCCATCTGAGAAGGGGCAGCATTGGGAATAGCCCCGCACTGGGGCTGGA